TGAAAGCTAGGAGCATTGATATGATAAGTTTGCAAGGAGATATGAGAAATAAAGGGAGATTAAATCATTTATTTAGCAGGTACAAAAACTAATACATTTTGAGCCAGGATAGTTTAGTGGCAATCTATCCGCCCTTATAGAAGAATCTAAAAATCTTTGGCAATTCCAGAGTCTGCTTGCCCCTAACAAAGGTATTTGACAAAACATTGAAAAACCAAAAGAGATAATACTGGTACTGTTCCAGATGAATGCATGAAAGACAGCTACATTTTTGGATTTAATCCATGAATACATCCTCACCATGATGCTTTGTACAAAGCAACTGAAGCTGATCCCAGGATCTTTTTTCTGCCCTCTGTTAACTTTTTATTTTCAGACATCTCCCCACCCGCTAATCATGGCAACAGATAAGAAAAATGCAAACAGAGAAAATAAAACAGTGAATTAAAGAAATAGAAACAGAGTAAGGTGAAAAATGCTCCGAGTATAATGAAGAAAAGTTTTTTTAGCATTAGTTTTACCATACTAAGAAATGAAAGTATATTTTGACAGTGGCAAAACTGATTAAGTGTATGTTGCGATTTCACAGGAGCACAGACTTGATAGCTACCCTAGGTGAAGAATTCAGGTACTTGGGAATTTCAGCTTTCAATTTTTAAAAGCCTGTGTTTCTAGTCCTTACTGTTGCAAACATAATGTTTTTCAGATGCTTCTGCTGACATCCCAGAAGCCAAAGAATGCACTCGACAAGATTCACAGTGCTTCAGGTTGGGTAGGCTACAGTCTTCTGCATAGCTACTTGCCCATCACCATGACTAACAAAACCAGATTAAATCATGAAATTGCACAAAATAGTAAAAATGGGAGAATGCACACACACAGAGAGATACAAACACCTGGAAGCATTCTGCTCCCCACCCCATGGACGGAACTCCAAGCTGCAGATTTTTAGTTTTATTTCTTAGCATAAAGTACACACAGTTCTGACTGTGGCTTGCTCATAACATTACACTTTAGAAGAAGTAGCATGTGAAACATGGATCAAGCTCCATTCCAACCAAAATTGATCTTACCAACAGGAGCGACCTCCACTTTGGAATCAGCCTTGTTCTTTTCAGGCTAAATTCCATAATTTTGAACTCTCATAGTGCCTTCCCAGTATAATAGGGAGTGTAATTTAGCTTCATTTGCCTGAGAACCTTAGAACCTTAGATACTCCCTTAGAAACCTCCCCTACCATCCACCTATGAACCTTTGGATCTTCCCCACCATAAGAACATGAGAAGAGCCTACTGGATCAGGCCAATGACCCATCTAGTCCAGCATCCTGTTCTCACAGTGGCTAACCACATGCCTGTGGAAAACCAGGAAGCAGAACATGAGTGCAAGGGCAATCTCCCTTCCCACTGTTTCCAAAAATATCCCTTGATCCTAAACATATCTGGAGGCCCATATTTATCCTTAGTGCTTGGGGCAGAGAAGTGTCTTGAGGACCTTAGAACATTGAGTTTTTCAGGTTTATTAGGTAGTTAGCAGGGGTGCTAGAACTTATTGGGCATGAGACACTGGTTCAAAGAGCCCTGGGACATGTAGTTTCCATCAACGGTGTCTCCACATCACTTGGGAAGACAGGCAAACTAATGCCAGTGTACTGGAAGAAGCAAAGATCACCAGTGTCGAAGCGATGATTCTTCAACATCAACTACGTTGGACTGGTCATGTTATGCGGATGCGTGATTATCATCTTCCAAAGCAACTACTCGACTCCAAACTTAAAAATGGTAAGCGCAATGCTGGTGGTCAACAAAGACTCTCTCAAGGCAAATGTAAAAGAATAAACACCAACAACTGGGAAACACTCGCCTGAGAGTGCTCCAATTGGAGAACAGCCTTTACCAAAGGTGTCATGGGATCTGAAGATGCTCAAACTCAGGATGAAAGGGAGAAATGCACTAAGAGGAAGGTACATTTGGCAAACCCTCACCGTGATCAACTCCCACCTGGAAACCTATGTCTCCACTGTGGAAGGACATGTGGATCCAGAATTGGCCTCCACAGTCACTTTTAAAACCGTGTTTATGGAAGACAATCTTACTCGGCTACGAGTGATCGCCAAAGAAGAAGAAAAAGTTTCTAGAGTGTCAGACATCCTCCTTGTGGACTTGGGCATCCTGGGAATGATATGCCCCAGAGCTTCTTGTTACAGACAAACATTGAGGAACATCTCTACCTGTCGCTGACTGACCCTTAGCAGGAGCAACCAGGAAGAAACTCAGCCAGGTATACAAGGTATTATGGAAAAATAAAACTGCTACATCAGTTAAGGAGATGTGAGTGGGCAGAGTTGTCTCCTTGCTAAAACATTAGAAAAGGCGAGGGAAGAAAAACAGAGTGACTGCTTTTGCTCCCCAGCTGCCTCTGATTGTTTTCATCACTTCAGAGAAGGGGAAGAAATTGGAGGGAAGTATGATGGCAAACAGATAAAAGTTTGATTCCATGTGTTTACACATCAATAGGTTCATGTGTGAAAACAATTCCGAGCAGCCTCAAGATCTGCTCTGTATTTTGACATGGTTTGAGAGCTAGATCTGTTCTATCTAGGGAAGGATGAATCTTTCAACTCACAGGTTCCCCCCTCCCCTCAATCTTAAATTCAGTTCTCTCTATTTCCATAGCAATTTGCTATTTTAAAAAATTCTCATGAAAATGAAACAATTTTTGTGTGGGAATTTCTCCTATTAAACATATTTTTTGCATACAATCTTGCCTAATATGCACATTTTTGCAAAGCTGTGGCCTCTAAGATAAGGCCTTTTTGCATATTATTTGACTAATATTATTTGACTAATATTAATTTGCATATTATTTGTACATTCTTATCCACACTTTGTGTGTTTTGTATACATTGTTTGGTAAGAGAACTACATTGCAAAATTCAGGAACGCGCCAATTTTGAAGGATGACTATGTTTCAGTTTACATATACCATATTTTTCGCTCTATAGGACTCACCCGACCATAGGACGCACCTAGTTTTAGAGGGGGAGAACAAGAAAAAAAATCTCTCTCTCTCTGCGCAGCGCCCCTTCAGCGAAGCGGCAGGAGAAATGGAGCCCCTTCCATTTCTCCTCCCGCTTCGCTGAAGGGGCGCTATGCAGAGAGGGAAAGCTGCGCAGCGCTTCTCCAGCGAAGCGAAGCCAGGAGAGTCTTGTTCTCCAGACTTCAGGGATAGCCACCCAAAGCCTCCAGAGGCTTCGCGTTGCTTTCGCTGAAGCCATGGAGCCTGCATTCGCTCCATAAGATGCACACACATTTCCCCTTAATTTTTGGAGGGGAAAAAGTGCGTCTTATAGAGCGAAAAATACAGTAGTTTCAGAAATTGCTGATTTTGTAGGTTCTCCTTTAAAAGTGAACTGAATCAGATTTCACCCCCAACCCTAGTTCTACCTACTGATGTATCAAAATTTCTCCTTGGTTTTACTTTTCAACTGTGTTCACAACAATGTATAAGAAAATAAATTGCACCCAAGAAATGATCAACGGAGAGAGAAAATACCTTTGGAATTCCCATGAATGGGCTGCAGGGCTTTGGTTGGACTTAGCTGACTTTCAAGCTGGCCAAGGGGCATATGTAGAAGTGCCCTTTCTTTCATTCTTGAAATAATTTCTTCTGCAGCCTTCCTGGGTGTCTGCATTTCCTGAATACCACATTTGAGTTTGCTGTGGCATAGAAAAGAGGAGATAGTGTTTCTTGTGTGCCTAACAAAGGTTGATCTGTCTCTCTCAGCATATTTTTGAAGTTACAATGAAGACAGAGATGCCACTTTCTGAGGATTGAGGGGGCCCGATGCAACTTCATGACATTGCGCATGCAACGTCTTGTGATGTCAGGACATTGCACATGGGGCCCTCTGAACATTGAGGGGGGCTGCCCCCTTAAAAAAAGGCAAAAGATCTGGTAGAAGATTCCTGTGCTCTGCTGACGTTGTTACTGTTTAGTCGTCTTAGTCATGTTCGACACTCCATGACCCCATGAACCAGAGCATGCCTTGGAAACTCTCACTTTCTTCTCAAAGCTTCTCCTTTTTTATGTCCATGGAGTTTTCTTGGCAAAATACTGGAGTGGTTTGCCAGTTCCTTCTCCAGGTGGATCACATTTTGTCTAAACTCTCGGCTATGACCGAGGGGTAGCCCTGCACAGCATAGCTCATAGCTTCTCTGAATTATTCAAGCCCCTTCGCCATGACAAGGCAGTGATCCATGAAGGGGTGACATACATTACAGCCATACAAAAACCAGCAGATTATTCTGTGCAATTTCCCCTCACTTCCATTGCACACACCGTACATTATCTTATTGTCCATACATTATCCTACTGTCCATTTAATTGGACACCAATTACTGCTGATAAATAGATAAAACAGAAGGAGAGCGGAACCAACATAATAAACCATTCAGAAGATAAAAATATATTTCTTCCTCGCAGGAGTTATCAAAAAACGCATGCCGTTCTTGAATCAAGCTGTTTCAAGCTTCCTTCTTCTCAATTCAGACTAGGATGGTGGGCCAGGGGACATCTAGACTTCACTACAATCCAACGTGAAGGAGGAATGGTCCTCTGCTAGAAGGAATTCAATGCACTAAGGGTTTGGGTATGTGAATGAAGGTTGCATTGCCTCAACCCTAGGATTGCGAACCTTTTTTCTGATGTCCTGCACACCTTTAAAGGCATGTGAGGGGCCCACAGCTTGAGAAATGACTCATCTCAACAGCATAATGAAAAGACCAAGATAAAACTCAACATGCTACTGTTAAAGTCAAGGGTGAGGGACCTCAAGCCTAAGGACTGGATGGAGCGGTGTGTCTGAATGTGTGTAGAGACCCCCGACTTTTGAATGGCTGGCATGTAGGCTGCTACAGACAGGTAAGTACCAGATAAATTGCTCCACCCACTTTTGCCTCTGGCCAAACTCAACACTGGCATGTGGCAATGATGCTAACTGGATAGCTCAGTTGGTTAGAGCGCGATGCTGATAACACGAAGGTTGCAAGTTTGATTCCTGGATGGGACAGCTGCATAGTCCTGCATTATAGGGGGGTTGGACTAGATGACCACCGGGTCCCTTCCATTTCTACAATTCTATTAAGAAAGGCTGCCCCCAAGCTTTTTTAAAAAAACCCTAGCCTGCTTTAAAGTTGCTATCCTTCAAAAATTACCTAGCTCCATATGAAAAACTGCCACTTTACTTCCATATTTCCCCCTGTTTGTTAGTATTTTTCTTTTTTGCTTTTTTAAAATAAAAAAAAAATGTATCTTCACTGCTTTCTAGGGCATTAGTGTGGATGTTAAATATTTTTTAAAATAAAAAGAACTGAAACCTCTTTTGATCGGTAATTCCTCTGCTCTTCAAACCCAGTTTTCTATTGTCAAAATAAATCTCCCTTTTTCAGTTTTAAGGAACTAGCCTCACTTATTTCTAGAGGTAAAGTAATCACCAACCACTCGAAATGGCATCTCCAGATTACAGCAACTCAGAACATTTATCTGCAACGTAGTCAGCCTAACCTGAGAGAAGATAACTTGAAGGAGGCACCATTAACCAAAATGTCAGACCCAGATTTCACACACACAGAAGCTGCACTGTCAGCATAGGGTATATTTGAATAAATAAATTCCTCAGTGTGTAAGACAGATAACAAAGTTTCCAGTAAATCTGCACTTACCAGCACTTGCAGGAGGATTAACTGAAAAAACAACACACACAACCCAACGATTCTTAACTGTTCATGAAAGCACTGGCGGTAATCTTTTGATCTAGATCTTCCCAATTAGTTTTAGGAAGGTTATTATTTTCCTCTGAGCCTGCTTGTTAAGAATATAAACTGTCTCTGTCGGGACTGTACAACTTGTGATTTAGCTTAAGAAACCAGAGGTTTGCCCTTGCATTCATTTTGATCACCACAAAAGAAGAATAACAACCCTGTTTTCTCAGAAAGGTGCCAGATTTTATTGACACCTGGTGAACAGGGGGGCAGGATTAAGCGCGTGGTTCTGCGGCTCCTTTCATCCCATTTACTCCCTACTTGTGAGTAACAGATGAGGGGAGCTTCACTTCTGAAGTTACTTTGAGAAATTCTGCAACAGCTGAAGGAGAATCTGAGGAAAAGCAAACCCATGTAAATGAAAACCAAGTGGAAATACACTTGTAACTACCACCAGCACTAACCATGGTTAACACTAACCAGCTTCTTGATAAAACCATGGTCTGTTTTGTTGTTGTTGTTTAGTCGTTTAGTCATGTCCGACTCTTCGCCACCCCATGGACCAGAGCACGCCAGGCACTTCTGTCTTCCACTGCCTCCCATAGTTTGGTCACACTCATGCTGGTAGCTTCGAGAACACTATCCAACCATCTTGTCCTCTGTCGTCCCCTTCTCCTTGTGCACTCCATCTTTCCCATCATCAGGGTCTTTTCTAGGGAGTCTTCTCTTCTGAATAGGTGACCAAAGTATTAGAGCCTCAGCTTCAGGATCTGTCCTTCCAGTGAGCACTCAGGGCTGATTTCCTGAAGAATGGATAGGTTTGATCTTCTTGCAGTCCATGGGACTCTGAAGAGTCTCCTCCAGCACCATAATTCAAAAGCATCAATTCTTCGGCGATCAGCCTTCTTTATGGTCCAGCTTTCACTTCCATACATTCCATACATACATACATACATACATGGTCTGTTAGTCTACTTCAAATGAATGTCTCAAATTCTAGTTTGTGGAGCAATCGTGTCTTTAGAAAATTCAGTGTGTTTAAAGATAATTAAATGATTCCCCCCCCAAAAAAATTATAAACATAGGTTCAGATCAGCCTTCTCCCATATAGTACCCTCCAGATATTTTGATCACTCCCACCAAGCATGACCAGTGATTAGAGATTATGGGAAATGTGGTCCACTACATCTCATGGGCACTAGGTTGGGGACGCCAGGTTTAGACAGTTGAGGGGGGGATGTGTGGTTCTTTCTGCTAACCTCTAATTAGCTGTGGTTCAAGGAGAAACAGCAGCGAGAAGTGTTTAGAATTTTGCTTTTTTCCAAGAATTGCTTGGCGTGTTAACTCTTCAGAATTTTTCCCCAAGAGAGCCTGCGCTTGTCCTTGTATCTGCCAATTAGATAGTGAATAATGACAGAGTGACCAGAGAGCTCAAAGAGGGAAAAAAATACATCTACACATAGTAATTAAAAAGCAAAATGTGATTAGACATTGGAGTGTATTCCAAGAAAAATGTGGTTGGGGCAGATAAGACAAGAGAGGAAAGATTCAAAAGCCTGGTTGAGAAAAAATCTAATTAAAAGGAAGTGTTATCCTGGTGTTTTGATCTTCGATAGAGAGATGCAGGGTTATTAGTAGAAAATCATTCTGGCGAAAACCACTCTTGCACATGGGCATGAGAATGGGGTGCTTATGTGAATGCAATGGGGAGAATTTTCTCAAAACCATGTGTTGTCTCTGCAAGTTTAGAAATGTCTCTATTTTCAAGAATATATCCAATGGGCTGTTAGTGTATGTATGTACAGTGGTACCTTGGTTCTTAAACTTAGTCCGTTCCAAAACCAAGACATACATAGAAAGCAATGCAAAATGGATTAATCCATTCCAGACTTTTAAAAACAACCCCTAAAACAGCAATTTAACATGAATTTTACTATCTAACGAGACCAATGATCCATAAAATGAAAGCAATAAACAATGTACTGCAGTCACACAATCAATCAATCAATGAACAGCTGAACTGGGTTCCACATAGTCACAAAAACAAAACAAAAAATCCGCAAAAACAAAAACGCAAAATAAATAGCAAAACCAGACAGACCACAGTGTAACTCTCGAAAGTGTAACACTCAAAACAGAGCACTTTTGGCTTCCAAAAAAAAGTTTGCAAACCGGAACACTTGCTTCCGGGTTTGCAATGTTTGGCTTCCAAGTTGTTTGAGTACCAAAGCATTTGAGAACCAAGGTACCACTGTATGCATGCAGAAATGACAGCAACTGGCATTATTCTTATTCTTATCTTTATTAGCATGCCAAATTCATTTCCTTCTTAGGTAAGGGAAGTAGACATAACTATGCCTGGCAAGACAGCTTATTCAATAATAATAATAATAATAATAATAATAATACCCCTTCAAAGCTTGTTGTTGCTTAGTCGTTTAGTCGTGTCCGACTCTTCGTGACCCCATGGACCAGAGCATGCCAGGCACTCCTGTCTTCCACTGCCTCCCGCAGTTTGGTCAAACTCATGTTGGTAGTTTTGAGAACACTGTCCAACCATCTCGTCCTCTGTTGTCCCCTTCTCCTTGTGCCCTCAATCTTTGCCAACATCAGGGTGTTTTGCAGAGAGTCTTCTCTTCTCATGAGGTGGCCAAAGTATTGGAGCCTCAGCTTCAGGATCTGTCCTTCCAGTGAGCACTCAGGGCTGATTTCCTTTAGAATGGAGAGGTTTGATCTTCTTGCAGTCCATGGGACTCTCAAGAGTCTCCTCCAACACCATAATTCAAAAGCATCAATTCTTCGGCGATCTGCCTTCTTTATGGTCCAGCTCTCACTTCCATACATGAGGCAGCATATACCACAGTAACATCTCTTTCCATCTTGCATGTCACTGTTAAAACATACCCACACAGGGTGCATTATGCAAAGTTTTCCAGAAGATCACCAAAAGCTTTTTACAGAAAATCCACACAACTACCCACCCCCCACCCCATTTGTCTAAATTTATCTTTATAGCTCAAGGAATATGTAGAGGTAGAAGCTGCAATAATTGTATTGATTAGCAGACGAACCTGAGAAATCACAGATACTGCTTTTCAAAGCAACCCCCGGCTATCAACTCTTTTCATAACTTTGGTTGCTATGGTAGCTACAAAACAACACTTTTTTCTTCTTCCCTCCAATAAAAAATACCTTCCTATTTTCCTTCTGCATAGAGTTATTGGTATAACTTAAGTATTTGGAAGTAATCTTTTGAAAAGGCTTCTGAAGAAAGATAATAATGGCTGGTGTTTGTGTTTTCTGGCATTACCAAGTGAATAAGTTTGCTTTGAACTAGAATCCGCTCTAATCATTACTGGTGTTTCCATAACAACACGCAACAAGAATAGGCTGAAGGTGGCTTGCAGTATTATAAAATTAGCCGTTAAAAATTACCAACAGTGTTCATGGATTAATAATAATACTTTAAAGCGCAGCATTAAAAACAGCTTAAAACAAATTAAAAATCGCAAAAACAGGGCGGGTCTTAAGAGATGCATCTCAGGTGTCGAAGGTCAGGGCAAAGAGGTCTTCCTTCAGAGCGTTGTTTAAAAGGTCAGTTGTGCTCTGCTCCCCTTTTCTTCCCATCTAGAGTTGCCCTGCCCTCTGCCTGCATTTCAGAGTGGGCACATTACACAAGGTTGGGCATGGCATCAGCTGTCTCTCATCCTCCTTGCCTGATCTCCACCAGCCGCTATGAACTGCCTAAGGGAGGAGGCTGGCAGAGGCGGCCATAGAGAGGCCATGGGATTCGCTCTTGCAGCCACCACTGATGGGAGAAGCGCCAGCTCATCCTCCTCCTCCTCCAGCTTGGCGTTGGTGCTTTTGGGGAAAATGGGACATTCCGTGATCAAATCAGAAGCCGGGATGGCTTTCGTAATTCCAGGACTGCCCCTGGGAAATAGGGACACTTGGAGGGTGTCAGGCCAGGACTAGCCGCCTGAGAAACAGTTTCTACACAAATGCAATTCTGGTTCTAAACGCAGCATAAGGGGTCTCTATAGTATAGTGTATTTGAAAATGGGGTTTCAGAGTTTTTAGGGGTTTTTGAATGTTTTATGTAGTTTTTATCTAGTTTTATGTAGTTTTTCAATTTCATTGTTCTGCATGGGACAATGACAATAAAGATATCGTATATAGTATCGTATATCGTCTATCGGTATGATAATGTAGTTAACAGGTGCCTGGGCAACATGTTTCTCAGGCCACTCTGTCATGCAGATAGGCAAACTCTGCCACTCTGTCATGCAGATAGGATGTAGTCATCCTCG